TCACCTTGGACTTGGACCAAGAATGCGTGTTCCACTGCATGACAGCCTTGAGCGCAGCTGTCAAAGGTGATACCTTCTTCTGTACAACGTGTTTCGCATTTCGACAATGGCTCGTCCAAATCATGACAACCGTGATGACACTGAAACTCAGTGAGATATAGGCCCTAAGAGCAGTTCGGGAAGTTCAGAGCCGTGGTTGTCGGAATGATCATTGTAACTGCTCTACCTCTGCCTATGCCAGTCACTATTTGCCGTCATAATAGTAACTGAAGCATGGGCGGAGGTCGAACAGTGCCATGTGGTGCGTTACAACACGTATGGTGCATGGGTAGAATCCTGACTGGACACTCGCCCAAGCCATGTACGTGTTCCATTCCTCGAAGGGTTAATTAGTACCAGACTCGTTTGGGAGGATAAAAGTTCTGATTTGTATATCAGCAGATCGCAACAGTTAGACTCTTGGCAATCAGATGCTGAGAAGGATTGACTCACAGAATTCACACGGCAGTTGTAATCACATTTGGAGAGGTCTTCTTGATTCCATGTGAATTCGCCACGAGCCAATGGAAATGCCTGAAAATTGCTCAGGCTCAGAAACAGTGAGTCCTGATTTTCCAAAGAAAAAGAGTCAAATATCGCTTGGAAACTGGTCAAGCATCGATAGACTCAATTGTGTGCACGCCAAGCAATCGAGTCATCTCATATAGAGGCACCTAACACGTAGAGAGGAATGTCTAAAAATTAGCTACCTGTCTAAGGAACGGAAACTGAGACCTTACACAAGGTTGGTTTTTTCACAGTAATCTCGATGAACGTTAAGCACACCTGAGAAATGCCCCACCATGTCTGGGTTGTTGGATGATTCCAAGGGATCGATGAATCCTTGGTAAGGTGCTCTTTTTTCGACTATGTGCGTGGTCTCAAACTGCGGAAGGGCTTAGAAAAACGGTTTGTTGAGATATTCACAAATTTTCGATTCTTTGAAGTCTTGAAGATGGTGGGGTTGAACGAGTGGAGTGGGATGCCATTTGGCTAGTGAAGGTTGAAGAATCGCTGCTACGAATGGGCCCCATCGGTAATGATAACCGGATAATTTTGGAAGAATTCAATGAGCTGGTTCTGCTGCTTTCGTGTTTTGCAATTTTTATGCGAAATAAAGGGGTAACATCTTTTTTACCACCGTCATGGGGGTTGAACAGAAGAGCTAGACATCGTGTCCTTAATTTCTATCTCTGAAAAGGGCATTACTGGGAATTCAGTGGACTGGCGTGCCTGGAGCAGCCCTTTATGTTTGGATAATAAGAAGATAGAAGAAAGTAGTGATAGTCCTTTGTAGCTGCCCCTCTTCCCATGCTTTCAACAGGTTACTTCTTCCTGTTAAACCTTTCATTCAAATGATCGCTACAGGAGGGAGGAGGGGTGATGCAAATGGGTGTATAGGTCCGCTATAATAGGATCTTTCGAATGAGGAACTTGTAAATTTGAATTCTGACTTTCGTGTGGGACTGAGTGTTCTCTACCCAGTGCAGCTCCTTTGAAGAATCCCAGAGTTAAACGATAATGTTCCAGCGATCTGATGATGAACGCTATTTCGATAGAATTCCGATGATGAACGAGATTGTCTGGGTTTTCCGCACATAAAAGAGAGCGGCCAGGCCTGTTCCGTTAGGCAAAAAGTGGTTGTGAGAAAAAGGCTGATGAGGGCAAATGATGTGCATGCATGCATGTATACATGAAACTTGTTCCCATTCCTTTTCACCCGTTCATCTCACTTTCATAACAACAAGAAGATCATTTGATTGGGTGACGACAATTTTTGAGGGAATCGTCACCTCTAAGGGAACCAAACTTTCCAGGGCAGTGGGGAATCAGTAATTGGAGGGTGCTGTATAAGATGACAGATTGTTGTCAACCAAAGGGCGATCACTTTGGATTTACAACCGTTCTGACGTCGGCCGACCTTCATCAACCACAGACCGCTCCTCTCATTCTCTCTCTCAACTGTCTACACTGACTATTTCATTCCATCGTCATTACTACCAAACATTCTTCAATCACGTAATGCGCGCCGCCAAATTCATGACACCAAATAGCCATAACGAACTTCCTAACAGAGCCATCAATAAGTCTGACCTAGTTTCTGGAGCCAACAGAGGACAACAGGCTCCACAGGAGAACCTCAGAGGAATGTTTACCGTAAACAAAGACAAATGAATCAAGAAACACATCAGAATAAGTGAAAGACACTGAAATATGGTTAGTGGAATACAGTAAACCGAGGCAAAAACAGCTGATCCACTCACCAAGTTCCGTTCAGAACAATAAAGCTGACAGGTTTTCAGGGAATTCGAGAATACTGTAGCGTGTACTGGTTCGTAGATTCCAAATAGAGAGATACCGATGACGATGCTGATGATGACGATATCGTTTCGCATTGACCGCTCACATTCGGCTAGGAGGCGAGTGATGGTCGTGATCGTCGATGGGCGCAACAGCAACAGTCAGAAGAATCGTTGTCGTCCGTCGAGTCGGTCGTTCGTTCGCCCCGCCGCCGCCACCACCACCACTACCGGTGCTGATATTGATCACGGTTCACGTATTGATCGTGTTCCAATAATATGATCAATGACGGGAAAAATCGATTGACTACTAAAACAAGTGCACAGTTGGACATATATTATGACCAGATGCCGTCTGCATACAAACATCCAAAACTGGTTACCGCGTGACGATGAATGGAAATGAGCGCGATGGGCGAGCTGATAATCGGCTTACTCGAAATAACTTTAAGACTGCACTTTGAAAAGTCGGGAGTTTTGCTCAAAATTCTGCTTTTTTGAAAACGAGAAAGAATTAGTTCGACATTTTTTTCAGCAAACGTTCGATTGGTTTGCCTCTCCTTGAGCTTGTCCTTTGTGCAGAACTTCAAATCTTTTCCCATTGGCTAGGGCATTTCCTGAGCTTACATTACTACCAAACTTGCCTGGCTTACCCACAAAAAACCACCATCCTCTCCTGTCTCTCCTTATATTGCCCCCCTGGCCGCTAAAGTTTAGAGATTGGGTAGAGCTGAAAAGGATTCAAGTGGTACAATACTCGTCTGAAAGTATAAAGTGCTGATCAATTGGCCTTGCAGGTCAATGTATAGGCCAAATATTCTCAAAAATTGAAAGGGAGTTGAATGCAGCGGTGCGTTCCAAAGCAGGATTGACCGACTTCCCTGATTCTATTTACTCCAGCTACCCAGAAATCATTGAGGCTCAGAGCTATGGAACTTCCATCCGTACAGTCTTATGCCGAAAGGCTTCTGAGCCTTGGCTGAAAACACTTTGTAATCTGCTTTGTACAAGAAAAAACAACCACAAAAAAGAGTGAAGGGTGAACAGTCGAGCTTCTGACCTTTGATCTGAATCATGAGTCAGAATCATCCATTTTTCCTCTACTCGAAAGATTTACTGGTGACAAGGTGTCGGAAAAGAAATTAATGGCTGACGTTATTTCAGACCATGAAAATCACTTCACTGAACAGAGCAAAAGAACTTGTTTTTGGTACAATTGTGATGACATCAATAACAGTACTGACTGCAAAAAATGGATCCCAATGGTCGCGGAATGTAGTGTACATGACGATGACGGCNATGAAAATCACTTCACTGTACAGAGCAAAAGAACATGTTTTTAGTACAATTGCGATGACATCAATAACAGTACTGACTGCAAAAAATGGATCCCAATGGTCGCGGAATGTAGTGTACATGACGATGACGGCAATTAATCTTCAAAAAACTCATTTTCTTTGAAATGATTCAGTTCTTAGGCATGCAGATCATACCAGTATTAGGTTTTTTGAATGCAACGAAAATTTCCAAGGAAATCCGTGGGAATTCCTTTATGGCTGGGACAGTGCACCTACCAAGGATCTTCACCATGAAGAAGTAGTTTCTTCTGTTCTCATACCAGGAGCTCAACAGCAGTTCCTAGGCTATCTATTCCTTTGTGATGAAACATCTGGGTTTCTATTTAGAATCTATCCTATAGGAGCTCGTTTGGGTGAAGTAGTGTAATGTGTTAAACCGAGGTTTCACTCACTTCTATGATGATTCGGCGTTCCCACAAGCCTGCGGAATGGGCTTGCTCGATTAGCTCATTCGTCTCAGGGAGAAACGAGGGCAAGTCTGGGAAAGAGCAGAATAATAGACGTTTTTTGATAATGGAATGGGCCTCTTAATCGCCTGTGATTGATGATCGCTTGAAATCCAATGCGTTTCTGATTCAAGACAGTCGCCACCAGAGGTTGCAGAGTGTTGGGGACCTTCCCCATAAAACCTGATCGTTTGGACGGAACCCTGAACTCGACTGCCTTCCATTCTGAAGGGTTCTGCAAAAGCCTGCCGTTCTTCTAGTTCTGAACCGATTGTGCTGGATCAATAAAATCCCGCACAAATTGTGCACACCCTGATTTCCACCTGCTCGGCCTGCTTTTTCTCCTGCTGAAGGCTCTGGCATAGCTTCTTTCTGGATAAGCTGTCACAAATCGTTCTGAGAAGTCTGGTTCTCCTGAATCTAGGGATTTGGTATGAGTTGCAAATCCCTGCTACAGCCATCGTGGTCATGATCGAATCAGGGATGGAACTACAAATTTGGGAGCCCATTTATTGGTCGGAGAACAATTGAACGACTGCTGAGTCCATTTGTGAACAGACTTCGTATAAGCTGGCTCCTGAAACTAGTCCATGTTCCCAAAGGATGTGTTGCAGGAAAGAATGAGTACTCTAACCATCAAATCGTTTGTTAGAGGAACCTCCTCGAGAAATGCATTTTTTAGGCATTTTGAACAAACGAACACTCAAAAGTCGCTCGGGGGAAAGCTTATCGAAACTGGCAATATCTTGCGAGCAATGTCTGCATTTTCCGCTGTCGGCGACATTTGGTTCGTAGGGCGGTAGGGTGGAACTTTTCACCACCATTCCTTAGCCTTTCACGTTGCCTGAGCCATGAGAAAGGAATGATTGTGCATGTTTATAATGCAGTATATAGTAGACTCCCCTTTTGGGGAAAGTGCCATTTGGACAGAAGACGGCACGGGAAGAATTCCAAGTTTTCGACGAAATTTGTCGCATGAGTTGTCAGACGCATACACCAACCTAGTAGTTCCTACAGTTTGGATATCGGATACTTCACATTGCTAGATTCTGCCATAGGCCTGACGGAGAAAGGAATGATTATGCATGCTTCAGAGGAGTTTTTACAAGCAGAGACTCATGGTCTGTGATTCCTGCCTTTATTTCTTTGCGAAAAGTTTCGGCTGTCAAAAGTATCAAATCCAGAAGGTTCTAGTCGAACCATGTGGTCGAACCCAAGAGGTTTCAGTTGGCCCAGATAGATTCTTGAACAAAGCAACCAGTATTACCCAATGGTCGCAGCCCCGGGATGGTTTACCGTAACTGAAAGTTTGTATTTCACGATTATTCGAGTGAGCTCATTAAGAAACTAGAAGGTAGTTTCTTAGGTAGAAAGTTTTTATAAACAAACACGTTAGGCTTCCCTCATTCTCTAGCCCTAATCCATTGCCTGCCTTATGCAGGGAATAGTGCAGAGTGGTTGATGATGCCTTCACCATTCAAGCACTCAAATCGAATTGTGGTTCTGTTTACGTTGGATTCCCTTTTTAGAGCTTCATACCAGTCTTATAAAGAGAATAAGAAAGAAAAGAGAAACATTTGCTATAAATAACAACAAATAACAAACAATAACAAAAGTGACTTCGAAATCATGGAGTGATTCAACGCCTCAGTGATTCTAGATTTACACACACCAGGGCATGACACTTTTCGTTGGCCTCAGTACAGCTTTGGCTTTGTTCTTATAGAGAAAGATTTCTGCAGGACAAAAAGTCTCCTTTCGAGTAAAGGTTTATTTTGATCATGCGTTATCTTTCGATCAAGCATCAACAGCGAAAATGATTCGGGACAAGAGAGAAAGCGGTCAGCATTTCTGATAAAGGTTCACGTGGAAAGCACGAAGGTGTCAACTCCCCAGAGACTTGCTACCATTCCCAACGTTTCTGGGAACCAGTGAAAAGTTCAAGGATCTGGTCTAATGGTTATGGCTCGAAAAAAAATCCTAGACGAAATGCAATTTGCTTCCGTTGGGTAAGTAAACTTCCGGATAAACAAGGTAGCATGCAGTACAATCAGCACAGCCACGAGGAGAGCTTAGAGGAGTTAAGAGTGGAGGCCTGATTTTAAAAAAATGTTTTTGGCATACCAGTTAATCAAGTAAGGCAACCCGTGTCTGAAGGTCAAAAGTTCTTCATTGGACAGCTCGATTAGTTCGATGTGCCAGTGCTTCCTGAGCTACTTCAAACTCCTCTAGTAGGAATTCATGACTATAAAAATTCCAAAAAGCATCCCACAACCCATAGGTGTGATCTTTGGCTATTCGGTTCGCCGAATCGGCTTCTCGCTTAGCGGGGGTTACGATAAACGGAAAGCATTCTCCATTTCGTTGCTTGCTCTAATCAGTTACAGCTTGCTCAGCGCTTTGCCCCTATAAAAACTCGGGTGTGATCAGAGTTTCCACTTGATCGACTAACCAGTCCTCCACCAGAAATCAACATGTGCGGTAACAACTTCTACGAATTCCAAAAGGTAAGCTTCGAAATATTTTACTGCCATCTCTCCACTTTCTCATTTCTTTACTTCCCCGGGCGGGAGGACATAAAACAGTTCTGCCATGAAAAAGAAATGTGGAAACTCGATCACCAGGTCTATGGGGACAGTGGAAAAGCTTTCTTCCGAGTCAAATGAGATGTTTGGGTACGACATGTTTCCCTCCACCGTGTAGCCTGGGCTGCGCATATCAGTTGTCGATCACCCGAAACTCGCGACGTGTGGGGAAGGGCTTAGTCATGATCGATGCCTTAAGCCTACAGATTCCGTCTTGAGCTTGAGGGGTTTCAATGCTCTTTTAGTCTATATAATGATTATCGTGGAGCAGAGTCTGTCAGAGTAAATGTATTCCAAACAAAATCGAAAAAAATGAGCTCTTTTGGAGTGGATACTGGGATAAAGGATGGATTTGCTGGGTATCTACTGACCGCTGTTCTGCCAAGGTTTACTGTGCTCCATGCGCTCAGAATTTTGCCTGTTTATTGTTCCACTTCAGTTTCTACTAGTTACTTCTATTTGCTCACTACTTCCCTTCCAGGCCAACACCTCCTACTCCGTCATTCTTCCGGATTCTTATGCCCCACTGACACTACCAACGATTTCACATGGCTATCCAGCTTTTATCGAAAGCGAATCAGCTGAACCAGCTTCATCCAACACAGGTGAGAGAGCATCAAAATTCTCATTACCTTACCCTTTCCTGAATTTAGCTTCAAGACTATAACAGCAACAATGATGGGATAACACTGTTTCAGCACCTATCACAATCCCGAACATGGTGCCCCGAGCATTCCCAGAGAGTGGATCATCATTCGGATCTCTCACTTCCTATGGAAAAGCCGGTCTCGCTTGCTAATTAAATAAATTATTAGCTTTTATTGTTGTCGACCAGCATCAATACAAAACAACAAAGGTGGCGAAACAGCAGACGTACAGAAAACCCATAATAGTACTTGATTTTGGGGGACGTAGGATTAAAGAGGCCTAAAGCTTCCTACCACGTATTTGAATTTCATTTAGGTCGGCACAAACTTCTTCTTTGCTATAATTTCGACGGGACCCACTTTTTCCTTGATAAGGAAAGTAATAGAGAAGTACATATATTGAGAGCCATCAATAACTGGTAAATGAAACCCAATCCCTAAAAAATATCTGGAATGCTCGTTGTTATCGTTCACTGAGAGGGTTCTCTTCGAATAGGGCTCAGGCCACATGTGGTGGAACAAGATTACAAGAGCTCAACTGCAAAAGTTAGGTAGGAAAGCCACCTTTTTCAAAGGAAAACTTTTGTTGACAGTTTACTACGCACATTTCATTCTGTTACAACTGAATAATAATATTTATTGGTATCACAGAGATCGTTTTCGGAGTTTCAAGATATACCCGTGATTTCTTTGATGTATGCAAGATCCTTGAGCGAGATCTTCAGTCTCTTTTTTCGATCCGATTTTCCTGAAAAAATTAAAATGATTTTTTTATTGAAACTCACAATATTTGTAATACTCAGCAATATAAAATAACATTGGTGACTTACTTCCAGAAATGCTTTTGTTATTGTGATTGCTCAGCAATCGCTAAGAGTGGTCTCCATAGTCACCGTCTGGTTTGAAGCAGTAACATTCAAGAAGTTTCATAGCCGTTGGTCGGAGACGTCGTTTCATTTGAGGACTAAAATTCGATTAATTGTTCACTTACCGATCTGATTTACTTGATTTTTTCATTTTTCTTAATACATTCGATTGTCAATTCATCTGGGTATTCCAGACATTCCGAATTGTCCTTAATTTGTACTTATCTATTGCTAACCTCTGCCACCTGAACCCTAATCTGTCGAAAGATTGAAAATTAGCTGAAGAGAAGGAAAACAATAGGTTCTATCCTACCAGAGAATTTAGAGAAGGGAAATCTTCCTTGAGGACGAATAGTCAACCTTTTCAGGACAGCGTTCTGATCAGAAATGATGTCGCTGCTTTAGTTGGGTCCACACTCGTCTGACACACCGTTCTTCTGGGTGCTACTCAAAAATGTACACGGAAATGATTTCCCTTACTCTACGTGGTACCTATAATGCACTTGTACTGCTGTGCTCTACTGGGATGCTGGTGCTTGAGTGAGGGATCCCTTTGAGGTTAAGGGCTGAGCTTAATCGGCTTAGATAAGCTTCTATTGTCATCACAATTATAGATGAGTGTACTCGAGATGAGTGACGTGTACTATTCAGAAGTGCTTCCTAATCAGCTGCCATGTACTTTTGTTTAGAATTATTCTATTAATAAAGTGCAGCTATTCTTTCCAATGAACCCTTTTAATTGGAAGAGCTATATTCACCTGTAGAAGATGTACAGGTAGAAGAGTACCGCATGATGTGTGTAGAGTAAGAAATGCGCCACAAGTGAGAGGTTTTGCATGATGACAGTCTAAATTGTTGCTTTTCATTAAAAATCTGCTTCACTGTAATCTGCTAAATATGGTGCTTCGAACAATCAACGACTAATGCTCTTGACATTTCTTGATTACGGTAATGTTGCCTCCAGACGCCTTCCCTGATCTGAATAACAATTCCCACTTGGTCATTCTTTACGACGGTTTGCTAACCCTTCTCTCCTTATAGCCCTAGATAGTGGAGAGCCAAAGACCTTATGAAAACAGGGTTGAACGAAAACTGCATGGTGGGATTTCCAGTGGTTCGGGCAATAGGTAGCTATCGAGGCGATCGGACGTGATGGGTTAATTTTGTGTCGATGCGGTGGCTTTCTACCCATACCCTACCCACTGCCATGTTTTTCATGGGTTCACCTGACCTTGCCCACTAAGCCCTAGTATTGGGGATGGCAAATTGTTTAGTACCTCGTTGAAAATTGACTGAGTACCAAGATTCCTCTTTCTATCAATATAAGAACATGGTGCACACTGGTTAATATACACATGCCATCTGTCAAGGTGGGACCCAGCTCCTTGGATTACGGTAAGCGATGGAAGAACAACAGATAGTATATCGATTGCTTACCTGATTATCAAAGCCCAAAATGTTCGTCGCCATACGATAGACGTAATTGGGCATGTTGAGCACAATGAACACCCATGTAACTACCATCAGGGATCGGGTCAACTGCACGTCGGTATATCTCAGACCTGAAAGACAGCGTTCTCAGGTATGGGGAAGAGTGAAATGAATAAGCTGTTTCTGAAATTGGAAACTAAACGGAAATGGTAATTCG